CATATTTGGGCTCCAGTGAGCCCCCCTTTGAGCTATGTAGGGAGTTGGCTTTGTTCTTTATCTTATGTATGGTTGGTCCTATCGTCTTTTACAGAGTATGAGAATTTGTTTGGTTGCTTGGGCAAAATTTCAAGCAATCATATATATTTTAAATTTAATATTTATTTATTATTATTATTATTTTTTGCAGTACGCGGGCCTCTCACTGTTGCAGCCTCTCCCGTTGCGGAGCACAGGCTCCGGACGCTCAGGCTCTGCAGCCATGGCTCACGGGCCTAGCCGCTCCACGGCATGTGGGATCTTCCCAGACTGGGGCACGAACCCGTGTCCCCGTGTCCCCTGCATCAGCAGGCGGACTCTCAACTACTGCGCCACCAGGGAAGCCCTAATATTTATTTTATACTGGGTTATAGTTGTGTTAGTTGTGTTAGTTTCAGCTAAGTGAATCATTTATACATATACATATATCCATTATTTTCAGATTCTTCTCCCATATAGGTTATTACAGAATATTGAGTAGAGTTCCTGTGCTATACAGTAGGTCCTTGTTGATTATCTATTTTATATATAGCAGTGTGTATGTGTTCATCCCAAACTCCTATTTTATCCCTCCTCTCCACATTTCCCCTTTGGTAACCGTAAGTTTGTTAGAAAAATCTGTTTATGTTTTGTAAATAAGTTCATTTGTACCATTTTTTTAGATTCTATATATAAGTAATATCATGTGATATTTGTTTCTCTGTCTAACTTACTTCACTTAGTATGATAATCTCCATGTCCACCCATGTTGCTGCAAATGGCACTATTTCATTCTTTTTGATGTCTGAGTAATATTCTGTTGTATATGTGTATCACATCTTCTTTATCCATTCCTCTGTCAGTGGACATTTAGGTTGCTTCCATGACTTGGCTCTTGTGAATAGCACTGCAGTGAACATTGGAGTGCACGTATCTTTTCGAATTATGTTTTTTTCCGGGTATATGCACAGGAGTAGGATTGCTGGATCACATGGTAGTTCCATTTTTAGTTTTGTGAGGAACCTCCATACTGTTCTCCATAGTGGTTGCACCAATTTACATTCCCACCAACAGTGTATGAGGATTTCCTTTTCTCCACACCCTCTCCAGCACTTACTGTTTGTAGACTTTTTTTTTTTGGCGGTACGCAGGCCTCTCACTGTTGTGGCCTCTCCCATTGCGGAGCACAGGCTCTGGACGCGCAGGCTCAGCGGCCATGGCTCACGGGCCTAGCCGCTCCGCGGCATGTGGGATCTTCCCAGACCGGGGCACGAACCCATGTCCCCTGCAGTGGCAGGCGGACTCTCAACCACTGCGCCACCAAGGAAGCCCTGTAGACTTTTTGATGATGGCCATTCTGACCAGTGTAAGGTGATACCTCATTGTAGTTTTGATTTGCATTTCTCTAATTAGTGATGTTGAACATCTTCTCGTGTGCTTTTTTGGCCATTTGTATGTCTTCTTTGGAGAAATGTCTATTAGATCTTCTGCCCATTTTAAAATTTTTTTTGATATAGAGCTGCATGAGCTGTTTGAATATTTTGGAGATTAATCCCTTATCAGTCGCTTCATTTGCAAATATTTTCTCCCATTCTGTGGGTTGTCTTTTCATTTTGTTTATTGGTTTCCTTTGCTGTGCAAAAGCCTTTAATTTGGTCCCATTTTTAAATTTTTGTTTTCGTTTTCATTACTCTGGGAGGTGGATGCAAAAAGATACTGCTGCAATTTATGTCAGAGAATGTTCCACCTATGTTTTCCTCTAGGAATTTTACAGTACCTGGACTTAAATTTAGGTATTTAATCCATTTTGAGTTTATTTTTCTGTATGGTGTTAAGGAATGTTCTAATTTCATTATTTTACATGTAGCTGTCCAGTTTTCCCAGCACCACTTACTGAAGAGACTGTTTTTTTTCCATCTTATGTTCTTGCTTCCTTTGTTGTAGATTAATTGACCATAGGTGCGTGGGCTTAACTTCTGGGCTTTCTATCCTGTTCCATTTATCTATATTTCTGTTTTTGTGACAGTACCATACTCTTTTGATGACTGTAGCTTTGTAGTGTAGTCTGAAGTCAGGCAGCCTGATTCCTCCAACTCTGTTGTTCTTTCTCAGGAGTGCTTTGGCTATTCAGGGTCTTTTGTGTTTCCGTACAAATTAAAAAATTTTTTGTTCTAGGTCTGTGAAAACTGCCATTGGTAATTTGATAGGAATTGCATTAAATCTGTAGATTGCCTTGGGTATTATACTCATTTTGACAATATTAATTCTTCCAATCCAAGAACATGGTATATCTTTCCATCTGTTTGTGTCATCTTAGATTTCTTTCATCAGTGTCTTAACAGTTTTCAGAGTACAGGTCTTTTGCCTCCTTAGGTAGGTTTATTTCTGGGTATTTTATTCTTTTTTTTTTTTGGCTGCACCACATGGCATGTGGGATCTTAGTTCCCTGACCAGATATTGAACCCACAGCCCCTGCAATGGAAGCATGGAGCCTTAACCACTAGACTGCCAGGGAAGTCCTGCTAGGTATTTTGTTCTTTTTGATGTGATGGTAAATGGGATTGTTTCCTTAATTTCTCTTTCTGATCTTTTGTTATTAGTATATTGGAATGCAAGAGATTTCTATGTATTAATTTTGTATACTACAACTTTACCGGATTCACTGATGAGCTCTAGTAGTTTTCTAGTGACATCTTTAGGATTTTCTTTGTACAGTATCATATCATCTGTAAACAGTGACAATTTTACTTCTTTTTTTCCAATTTGTATTCCTTTTATTTGTTTTTTCTTCTCTGATTGCCGTGGCTAGGACTTCCAAAACTATGTTGAGTAAAAGTGGCAAGAGTGGACATCCTTGTCTCATTCCTGATCTTAAAGGAAATGCTTTCAGTTTTTCCGCATTGAGAATGAGGTTAGTAGTGCGTTTGTCATATATGGCCTTTATTATGTTGAGGTAGGTTCCCTCTATGCCCATTTTCTGGAGAGTTTTTAATCATAAATGGGTGTTGAATTTTGTGAAAAGCTTTTTATGCATCTTTTGAGATCATATGTTTTTTATTCTTCAGTTTGTTACTGTAGAGTATCACACTGATTGATTTGCATATATTGAAGAATCCTTGTATTCCTGGGATAAATCCCACTTGATCATGGTGTTTGATACTTCAAATGTATTGTTGGATTCGGTTTGCTAGTATTTTGTTGAGGATTTTTGCATCTATGTGCATCAGTGATATTGGCCTGTAACTTCCCTTTTTTTTGTGGTATCTTTGTCTGGTTTTTGGTATCAGGGTGATGGTGGCCTCATAGAATGTCTGAGTGTATTCCTTCCTCCACAATTTTTTGGAAGAGTTTTAGAAGGATAGGTGTTAACTCTTCTCTAAATGTTTGGTAGAATTTGTGAAGCCATCTGGTTCTGGACCTTTGTTGGAAGATTTTTAATCACAGTTTCAATTTCAGTACTTGTGATTGGTCTGTTCATATTTTCTATTTCTTCCTGGTTCAGTTTTGGAAGGTTGTACCTTTCTCAGAATTTGCCCATTTCTTCTAGGTTGTCCATTTTATTGGCATATAGTTGCTTGTAGTAGTCTCTTGTGATCCTTTGTATTTCTGTGGTATCCATTGTTACTTCTCCTTTTTCATTTCTAATTTTACTGATTTGAGCCCTCTCCCTTTTTTTCTTGAGGAGTCTGGCTAAAGGTTTCTCAATTTTGTTTATCTTTTCAAAGAACCAGCTTTTAGTTTCATTGACCTTTGTTCTTTTATTGTTTTCTTCATCTCTATTCATTTATTTCTGTTCTGATCTTTACGATTTCTTCCCTTCTACTCACTTTGGGTTTTGTTTGTTCTTCTTTCTCTATTTGCTTTAGGTGTCAAGCAGTAATTTTAGTGGGGTGAAGAAAAACTGATTTAGAACTGTAGTGAGTTCAGAAAAAATAAAAATGACTTTTAGTTTTATCTGGTTTACATTAAAAATGAAAGCACCTTTTTTGAATCCTTTGGGTGAAATGTATATTCCTACAGCCAGGTTGCTTGTGGAACTAAATAGAAGACTGCCATGAGAAAAGAGTCGTTATTTTTTGAGCCACTAAAATCTTAGCATTTCAGCATCTTTGAGATATACCAACATTGGAGAGTTTTGGTAATTTTTTGTTTAAAAAGTGATTGATGACTGTAAGAGGAAACCAGGCAGGCTTCCTATATCCTACCCTTTGGATGTCATAGATAATAAAGGTAAACCTTATTATCTAACTTATATCTAATTGTGATTCTGATGCTTGATGAGCTCTACCCATATGGAATTTGAGGCCGTGAGAACAAAGTTACATAAATGACAGAGAGTGTACAAAGGAAATTAGAATAAACGTGGTCCCTGTTAATATCTACACTTGTGTAAACGAGAAATTTGAACTTGGTTTTTTTTCCTTCCTAGCTAAAGAACTGATAAATGGATGGTTCTGTGGGGAAGTGATTGTGTATTTTGGCAATCTGCCTCCCAGGAGGAATTTGCCAGGTCTAGCAGAATGTCATAGCACTGTTGTAGCTGAAAACAAATATTAAAGAAATGCGTTACTGTAGGTGGAATAAAATCTGAAAATCACCTTCAATCTCTTTCTAACTTTATTTTTAATCGAGTCTCCTGGATGAAACAACATGTCTATGATTAGTTATATGAAATTGCTAATTTCTTGTGGAAGAAGCACATTAGTCTCTTGACTTTAAAGCTTCCAAAATGATACAGCAAAACCTGCAGAATTTGAGGCTAAATATCTATGTTTTATCCTGTGATGAAATCTTTTCTTCTTACCTCTCCTCAGAGTACAGATTAAATTCATCATCATTTTCAGTTTCTGCTTTATCAAATATTTATTGACCATTGAGTCTGTGCAAGGGATGCAGAGCAATATTTTATAAGACACAATCTTTTTTTTTTTTTTTTTTGGCGGTACGCGGGACTCTCACTGTTGTGGCCTCTCCGGTTGCAGAGCACAGGCTCCGGACGCGCAGGCTCAGTGGCCATGGCCCACAGACCCAGCCGCCCCGCGGCATGTGGGATCCTCCCGGACCGGGGCACGAACCCGCGTCCCCTCCATCGGCAGGTGGACTCTCAACCACTGCGCCACCAGGGAAGCCCCAAGACACAATCTTTTAAATAAATGATTTTATAATTTGTCTGGGGAGATGGTTGTACTTTGTTGGGTAATGTTCCTCCCATCCGCACCCCCAAATTCAGGTCTTTCCTGAAACCTCTGAATGTGACTTTATTTGGAAATAGGTTGTTGCAGGTGTAATTTGTTCAGAAGAGGTCAGATTGGAATAGGATGGGCCCTTAATCCAATATGACTGATGTCCTTATAAGAAAAGGAAAAGAGACAAAGATGCTATGTGAAGATGGAGGTAGAAATTGGAGTGATGAGTCTATAAGCAAAGAACTCCATGGTTCGCTGGCCACAGCTGAAGCTCTGAGAAAGTCATGGCATAGATCCTGCTCTAGAGCCTTCAGAGAGAGTGTGACCCTCCATTCACCTTGATCTCAGACTTCTAGCCTCCAGACCTGTGAGACAATATATATCCTCTGTTTTAAGCCACCAAGTCTGTGGCACATTGTGATAGCAGCCTTAAGAAACGAATACAGTAGACATAAAAAATAAAGCTCCTATTATTAAGCACCGGTTACATTCCAGGTCCCCTGTCTTTGAGCTGTTTTCTGCCCTAAGGTATCTTCACCATCACCCCCGGAGGAGCAACCAGAGAGCAAGAGAGGCCTAGCAGCTTGCTCAATATCATTCAGCAAGTGGCTCTAACCCTTGTCAGTTTTACTCCAGTGACCATTCGCCTAACCATGGGAGGAAGCCCATATGGCAGGCAGGAGGCAAAATGACAGGCAAGCGGGGACAGACCCCGAAGCTCGCACTAGCCCAGGTGTCCATGAAGAGTTATACAGAGAAATTGCCTGAGGTCCGTCCATAGGATGGGCTGCTACAGGAGCACAGAAGAGCAGAGTGCGACAGCAGGCGGTTGTATGGACAAATCTCTAATGCGTTCTGCTGAGTGAAAGAGGCAACACGCAAGAGAGTACGTACTATATATTGATAGTTCCCTCTCTCCAAAGTTCTAGAATAGGAAAAACTAGTCTGTAGTGGAAAAAAATAAAAACAGTGGTTTCCACCTCTGTTGTAGATTCTCTATGGAGAACTTGACGCCGGGGTCCCTGACCTTTGGTGGTTCAGGGGGGCAGAGACAGATCCAAGCCCGGCTTCTCACACACTGGGTAGCCGTCTCTGTGTACGCAGCTGGGAGTGGAAGAGTATAAATACCACGAGGCCAGGGACCATGCCAGTTTTAGGACCATCATATTTCAGGGACTGCCACCGTTCCTGGCTCATAAATGTGTGTCCCTCAATAATTATTTGTGGCATAAGAGAATCCACTTGTGAGCAGGGTATCGTCTACGATGTTGATACTCATCATCCTTGAGTTCCCAAATTTGTGCCACATAAGTGAGCACTTGATTATATACTATAGGGCAGTGTTCTCTAACGTCTGTCATTTTATCACCCCAGTCATCTATACTAACACAGAGAGCGAGTGGGAGAGAGTAAGAGACGGAAAGGCTATGAGATTAAGAGGTTCCACTGTAATTCCGGAGATTGTGTAGCAAAGTTACATGACGGCCCTGCAGACGCTGTAGTGTTTCTAGAATTGCTGGAAGTTTGTGATAGTTTAAGTGAAGTAAATAAATGTACCTAGCTCTGGGCTGGGCACTGGGAGAGAATTGAGGAGAAGCAGAATCCACGCCGTTAGGCTGAAGGACTTCACTCTCCACTGGGAAGGGAAGGTCCACCTGACTGTAGGCAGCTTACTGCCTGCGGGGAAGCGTGGTAAGCACTCCCTGCTCTCACCTCCCGGCTGCGGGGCAGGCGTCAGCACGCAGCCAGGGCACTCTTTCCTGCTAAGCCCTGGACTGGCTCAGGATGTCTTCCCACTTGCACCCTCAGAGAGCCACACTAAACCGCCGGGAACAGTAGGTGAAGGCCGTCAGTCACGAGGAGATGGATGTGGGTTTCAGAGGTCATGCACGGCTTCGTGGAGGAGGCGCATTGATCTCAACATAAAGCACGGCTCACATGGTGGGGTCTGCACCTGCAATCGACCTGCCCTGCCTCATGCCGGCAGCTTGGAGCTTCCACAGGGACTTCAGCCTTGGCTCGTGTCAGGAGGGGCTGTGCTGTCGGTTGGCTCCATTCCTGCCCATCCTCTCCGGTGCCGAAGTCTCCAAACCAAGGCTGCCCCTTGGTGAGGTGTCACAGATCCTGCAGGGGAATAGGAGGTGGGTGGCCAGGAACCCTGTAGGATGGGTCTGGGTTACCACACAGCTAAGGTGTGTTTTTTGTCTTTTTGTTTGTTTGTTTTTTGTGAACAGCCTGCTTGCTGTTCTTGAGTGATGACTTTCTCAAGTGAAGCATCTCAGAAAGGATAACCCTGTAGGAGGCTGCTGCCCTCCCGCCACAGAATCCCAGGGCAACTGTGCCGTGAATCGGCACCTTAAGATGTGTGGCTCACGTCACATCTACACTTGAAGGCCTGAGCCTCCTAGTACACTGCTTGCAGGTTTCCAGACGTCGAGCCTGGACAGACGGTGCCTCTGCTTAAACACAGCTGTTGTGTTGGCTTGTTTAGAGGCGCATCTGCTAGGAAAGGTGGAGAAGAAATTCTCTCCCAAGGTTGGGCCTTAACAGGCGCTCGTAGCTACAGAGCCTTGTCTAATAAAGAAGGATGGGGCTTCCCTGGTGGCGCAGTGGTTGAGAGTCTACCTGCCGATGCAGGGGACGCGGGTTCGTGCCCCGGTCTGGGAGGATCCCACGTGCTGCGGAGCGGCTGGGCCCGTGAGCCATGGCCGCTGAGCCTGCGCGTCCGGAGCCTGTGCTCCGCAACGGGAGAGGCCACAGCAGTGAGAGGCCCGCGTACCGCAAAAAAAAAAAAAACAAGGATGAAGGCTTTTCCTTTCAACTTTTTAAAAAGAGCAGCAATCTTTCTGCTTCAGCCGGCACCAAACCCTAGTCAGTTGTTCTTTTTTGTGCTTTGCCTGCTTCCCAGAAGTATAGACTATGGCTTGAAATAAAAAAAACCCAAATGTCAAGATTGTTGAGTATTGTGGGGAGGTTTGTCTCAGGAGTTATTTTCTTTCCTGCTCTTTGGTGTCCTTGGGGGGATTTCCAGACACCCAGCTCCACAGCATCAGCCCTCCTGGCAATGACCTGAGCTCCCCACCTCCTCTCATTCTGCTCTCTGACATCCGAACAGGAAATTTGCGTTTTAAAATCGGTTGCTTGCTGATCTAAAGGAGATGTTTCTCATCTGAGGTCTGAGGTTAGGTGAGGATCAGAGAGAGGGAGATTTTATTGGGAGAGTCTCCATTAGACCAGTACTCACATCCCAGGGCCACAACTTATTCTGCTAATGGTTAAGACGACCTTGACTTTGATTTCTGAAACTGCTACATTCACACTTTTCCAGTAGGGTCAGTATTTGTATTGAAAAAGACTCATTCTCTGCAGTAAAACTTCCCCCAACTTTTTTTTTTTTTTTTTTTTTTTACTGACTTGATGGCTTTTTCTAGAACGCATGATGGATGAAGCCAGGACGCAGTCTAGCCATAAAAGACATATGGATTCAATCAGATTTGCCAGAACACAGCTGCAGGGTAAAATCTAAAAAGTGACTCGAGAAATCAAGATGCTGCCGAGGCAGTTTCTTGGCCAGGAATCTTTTGGCTGTTTCTTGTTTTAAATTCTTTCATTTTGCATTTTGGGAAATGACTCTCAAATGAAAGCCAAAATCCTAAGTGCAGAAAGATAAATCACATGTCTTTTGCTATGAATTCTGATTATTTCCCTTGAAGGAATAGCCAAGAGCTTGTTTCTCACATAAAAATACTTTTGCCTGTTAATGAGAAACAGAATTAATTGGGTTCTACAGAGGCCAATTTTAGCTGAGTTAAAAGACAAATACTTTAGAGTCAAAAAGGCCTTAGAGACACCTAATTTAATCCTTTCTTATGGGATCAGAGAGGTAAAGCGTGGCCCGAGAGCACACAGCAGGGTGGGTGCACAGGGAGGACTGCATTTCATCCCCTGCTCACTCAGGCGAGTCAATTCTCTGACCTTTCTGACTGTTACTAACGAGGCTCCCTGCCATTATTTACATAAGAATATCTCAAGGATGAGATTTCATTCCTTGGAACTAAGAGATGAAAATAGAGAAATCATGTCACACGTGTAGCATCAGCACCCAGAAGACCTCTTTGTTTAAATAAAATGCTAAAGCCAGTGTGCTATGTGAATGAGTTCACCTGGTGGCCCAGGCAGCCTTGTTTTTGAAGAGCGTTTTCTGTGATCTTTGCTTGCATGGTGTGGAATTCTAACCCAACAGACACAGAATACAGAACCCAGAGAAAGGCCCTTTCAGAATGAAACATGGAAACGATGTTGAGATCATATCAAGGAAACTGAAAAGTAACTATTAGCAGGGCTTGCTGCAACAGGATAGCGGGTGGGGATGGAACAGAGCGTTCCTCAGCTTGGCATGGCCCAGGGTACGGGAGGGACCAACCCCCAGAGCCTGCTGGGAAGCTCAGCCATGCCAGGCACTGAACTGAGCCACGGAGCCTTCCTGCCCCTGTCATTTGGGAATTGTATGTGGTCAGGATACAGATGATGGCCAGCCTTCTGGCCAGGGATGATTAGCATAATAATTCAGCCAGTGCATTAATTTCAGATTGCTGCAAGCGATCAGACTCATGTTTTCATTTGCAGTTTTGTAAAAGAGACCAGCTTGCTCCAAACACTTTTCTGTAATAATTCATATTGCAATATTGAATAAGGATATTTTGATTATTTTATTTTGAGGCTTATACTGAAAGAAGTCTAACATTGCTCTTCTCATCATTATTCAATGAGTGTTTTCCAGCTGGATGGAAAGACAGATCTATCTGTTCAGACAGATCTGTTTTCTGTCTGAGTCATTG